GATTTCCACGACTCAAATCATCATGCACACTCACAAGCATGCAACCCCAGGGTTTTAATTTTCCAGTCTTCACGGTTTCCCTAAATATCCAAGTCCTAGCACCTTGCAAGTAGACATAGTCGTCCAACCAATCACGATGACACTGGTAACACAAACACAACTTCTTTTCCTCACTTATCAGAAACCTCTTTAATAGCTCTAAAGTATCAATTCTAAAACTTTATTGAAAATTAGAAAAATAATATTGCCAAATAAGAGCTGAACTCAATAAGTAATACTTCAAAAGCCCTAAATTTAAGACCAATTTACGGTCATCAGCTGAAATGCTGTGAACCCAATAAGTATAACTTCAAAAACCCTAGAATTCTCACCTAACTGCTGATTCAGTGAATATTGCCTGCCGTCCGCCATCAAATTGACCCCCGAAAGATCACAATCCTTACTGGAGGCCCCAAAACCCTAGAACTCAATCCACATCGAGATCCGAGCAAATTGCAGAACAAAAAGCTCCAATTTCAAGAATCTTCGAAGAAATTAGGGTTTCCGAGAGATTAGGTTTCGAAATTTCAATGAAACGGAGAGCGAGATAAGAATAAAAAAAAAAGGCCTCCAAACGAGAAAACGGGAAAAAAACACACGATCGGGGGCAAAAAGCTCTGACCACTGCAGTCAGCTTAAGACAGCCATATTTAAAGGGGGGGAATTTTACTAAAATGCCCTCAAGTTGGGGAAGATATTTACAGGGCTCCGTGTTGGAACTGGTTTTGGTTTTGAGCGGACACGGTCGGTTCGGAAGTCGCTTTCCGGCTAAAAGTTAAGACTCTCGGAGGGTCTGGGTTGTTTGGCTCGTGGATTGTTTACTGTTTATTTCGAAGGTTAAGAACGACGTTTGAGGCAAGATTATCTTCATCCAAACTTATTCCTATAGTTAAATAACTAGTTTAGATGTTTAATATTTGTTTTCATGTTTGAATCTTAACTTGTGATGTTAAAAATCAGAGTATTATTTTTTTTTTATGTTGAAACTTAAACCTAATGATCATGATCATGATATTATCATAAACAGCAAGAAAAGATTACTAATCTAGCATTGGTTTAAGTTTTAACATCAAAAAATAAAATAATCTTATTTTTAACATCACAAGTTATGATTCAATCATGAAAACACATATTAAACATCTAAACTAGTTATTTAACTATGGGGATAGGTTTGGATGAAGATAATCTTGCCTCAAACTTTGTTCTAAGCCTCTGAAATAAACAGCAAGCAATCCACGAGCACAAACAACTCGTTCTCTTTTGTCACACGTCGAAGATCTCGCCCTCGTGTCGGTATTGAGCTTCACAAAGCTCTCAAAAATTCATTAGAAAAAGATCTAGGGTTTTTGAGGGGAGAGGGTGGCTGCTATGGTTCATAGATATGATAAAAGAGAGAAATTTTTATGAAAAACACAGGTATTTATAGAGGCAAACCCGAAACAAACATGTTTGACCCGAACCAGGAAACCTAGTCTAACTAGGAAAATAACCTTCAGTGTTTTAATCATAACTTTCACGTCCAACCTCAGAATGAGGTGATATAAGATTTGTTGGAAAGCTCTTGAAGAGACCTACAACTTTGGTCTTTTAAGTTTTTTCAGATTCCAACTGTTTCGGTGTGTAAAATGCATATACTTTTAACTGGTCGTTTTTCCCAGATTCAAGCCCGTGCACGTGTGCATGATATCACTTCTATATTCACATATATACATTGCGTGTGCATGATATCACTTCTATATTCACATATATACATTGAATTGATCTCAAATCAATTCCTAGCATAGTCAAACATTAATAAATATCATTTATTCACATATATACATTGAATTGATCTCAAATCAATTCCTAGCATAGTCAAACATTAATAAATATCATTTTTCATAATATAACACATTTATTATTATTTATTATAAAATATTCAATTTTTGGGGGTTTTACAATATATAAAAAAAAGAAACTTGGAATTTCTTACCCATTAACAAAATATCGTGATCAGTTCATTTAGACTCAAAGAAGTTAGTGGGATAAATATACTATCAATTTCTTGGTATGAAAACTAAAACTTACCATAGATTTGTAACCAAATTGATAATCCTCCTCCTCCTCCTCTTCAAAATCTTCAATATAAACAACTCTCGTATATGACCTACGCATCCAATCTTGAAATTAAGTTTTAACATGTTTCACAAGAATCTCCAGGGGTTTATAATAGGTTCAAAAATGCTAATTGAATTAATGCACATGTACGTTACAATTTGATGGGTGGTGTAGAGCTTGATGTTATTTCTATACATCAAATGCATTGACTATTGAATGATGTTAATTGGACTTAAGTACTTTATTGGACGTGAAGGAAGGTTTAGTTGGAGCAAGTTGAGTAAAAACTGTATAATAATATTTAGGTGACAAAAAATAAGATAAATGTACATCCCTCAAAGATAATTAATGTACATCTTATACTAACTACAATATATAGTTTACTATATATAGATATAAAGTTTCCTAATATATAAATATTGAAGTCTAGTACAAAAAAATATATGTAACTATTAATAGTTTTACTATAGTTTATAAAATATATCTAACTATAGTAAATAATAGTTATAATATTGTAGTCTTAAACCCTTTAGCTGTAATTAATGTGATGTGATTTAATAAGATTGGGGGTTATGATAAGAATTTGAAAGTTATATTTAGTGTTAGGAGTTAGTGGATGAATGTTATGAGTGTGTGGTTAAATGAAAATTTGATGGTCATAAAGATGGTGGTTATGAAAAATTGAGTATGAATGTGTCATCATGTATGTATGAATGGATTGATGTGTAGTCAATGGTGACGTTACGAAAAATTAAGTATTTGTGTATCTCATGTATGCATAGATTGATGTGTTGGAGGGTATATTAGAAAAAAATGTTTTAACATAACAACCCACTTCTATAATAGTATTACATTTGTTTTTTTTTCCGTATCCCTAAACATTTCTTTTATTTTATTGGTATTCGTCTTCAACTTACGTAGATATAGATATAGATATGGGATTTTTAGTCGGCCGATACCCTATTTAAAGAATCTTTTCCAAAGTAAAGTTCATCTGCATAAGCATTTTAGAAAGTCTTAATAATGTTCCTTAACTTATCCCCAACCAACTTTTATAGTTTTTGCGCGTTTGGTAAGAGTTGACTCAGCTTGTAAACCAGCTCTTATAACTAAACAGGAATCAGTTGGTCTTTATACCCATAATGCAAAATATATTACGTATATCAGTAGAGGAAGCGTACTTGAAAAGTATAAAGCAGGCATCAACCATACAAGTGGCTCCAGATTCTGACCAGGAAAACCATAACACAAATGTGAATTCTTTTCTACTGTTGGATCGCTATCGTTGCCAGACGCGTAAAGATAATTCTGGTGACAGTTTTTTTGCAATTACCGGTTTGTCTTAAAATATATCCTCAAATGTTGCAACTTTTCTGGAAAGAATATACCTAAGAACTCCATATATGACAAAATTTGCACAAAACGTCCGTAAAATAATTTTAACCATCTACCTGATACAAAATCCCAAGCTTTGAAGTTGCTCATGCTTGTCAAATGGTACACATAACTTTGAAGCTGCTTGCTCCTGTCTGTTTCAAAGATGCATCCGATACAGAGCTTGTACAAGTCGGATTTACTAGCATGATGACTTTGTGTTCAAATCAATGGACTTGAACTGAAATCAACCGAATACAACTGCCATGTCGATTAAACCTCAATTTGAAGTGCAGTTGTTAAGAACGTTTTTTTGAGGTTAGGTCGTCTCTCGCTACAACCAATGGCATTCCTTTGGTTGCCTTGCTGAGATATGAACTCTGGCATAATCACTGGCTATTTCGCGATGTCTTAGTGGCAGTAGAGCTTGATAACAGAGTCAGCACCGGCAGTGAACAACCATGGCTGCCTTGGATGGAACTTGCAATCCAACACACCTGCATATATAGGATAACAGGAACTTCAGAGAAACTGAGAGAATATCTCTTTTCTTTTTCCATCCTTCATGTTAACTTTTCTTACAAAAGGGGGAAAAACATCAGTGTCGATTCACTTCCCTGAATTCAGTTTCTTTGAATATAAGGATACTGAGAGCATGTTATATGCCACTGTCTCAAATTGGATGATTTATGTCTTACTCTTTAATTAGAGCATTAAATGTTCTCTAGTGTGTTCAAATTGAAGCCCACATTATGCGAAGTTCAGCATTTGCACCTGGCGTTCTTCCATAACCTTTGGAAAGCTCTGACACACTAGTTTATATTTTCTGAGACATTTAATGATTTAATTAATATAAATCTCCTTGAGCATGGAAAAGCTACACAGGAGATATAAACATTTCATTTTAAATCCATGGAGTTGGTAATCAGAAGATTGTTAAACCTAATTTTATTGAGTCATAGTCCTGGGAGAAAAAAAGAGTCTCTGAGATATTGGTCCCCCAAATCTCAAATCCATTCTTGATACGAAGTTCCCTAAATCTTCCTATTTTGAAATAAATCCTCTCGAAACACTTAGGTTGTCTCAAATCAGTGCATGCTAGTCTAGGACTCCAAATTGTTAGACCTTTAAGACTCTAAATTGTTTGACCTTACTCAGGTGAATTACATATTGGATGTTGGTAACGGGAAAAAAAACAAACCGCCACCAAAACCCCTCTTTGAATCAACTGTAGATATGTTCATCAACAATTAATTTACAACTTGAATGAAGGACGTCATTGGATAATGCAAGGGATTATTTCTTAGATTGGAGAAATGAGATTTTGGACAAAACAAGAGTAAGCAACATCTGATGTTGCCTGCAATTATTGTTGCTGCAAAGCAATAATAAAAGTTCCTTTGTTGTCATGTTGGGTGCATAACTCATGAGGTTCATTAAGTCTCTGTACACTATTTCATGTATGCTGTGCTCAAAGGTTTGCACTATGGGGGACGGAGAACAGAGATGATAATATTAATGGAGATACAAAGACCATGAGATCTCTAGCTTCAAATCTCAGTTATGATGTATGTTCAGACGAAAACCTTCAACCTTATGAGGACCATTTTCATTTGCTATAATAGAGAAAAAGATGTTGGCTTTACATGGGTTTAAAAGAGACAATTGGCTTCAAGAGGTTGGGTTCAAGACAAGGGTAAAAGGGAAAACACAAACTATAACAGATATTACTTGGATTGGGGTTAAATAAAAGGAAACATGGGGACTAATTTGAGACTACATAAAGGTTTAGAGGGGCTAATTTCAAAATATGATCATTTGGGGGACTTATACAAAATAGATGAGATTTAGGGGAACCCATCTGTCTTTTTTTCGAAGGGGGGAGAAAAAAATTTCCATCTGGAGAAGGAAGAAAAATCCATGATGCTTCCATGCAACTTCAGTTCCTACAGTTTTATATGCAACGAAGCAGAACCTGATAGAGTTAAATCCTGGTTTAGCTTAGAAAGGATCATAGCAGATTTCTGACATTCACACAGATAGTAGACATACAAGATGACCTACTCCTACACTTTCTCTTGCTGGCCTTAAGGAACATTGTACTGATAGTTACCTGAGAATTTGATGTTCTAAAATAAGCA